AAAAAAAAAAAAAAGCTCTCCAGGTGATTCTTTTGTGCAGCCAGCGTTGAGAAACACTGTGCCATACAAACCAGGGTTGCACACTGCCTCCTCCTCTTCTTTCTGTCCCTCCGCAGGATATCCTGCTCCACCTTTACCTGTCCAGCCAACTCTGGACAGCTAGCCAGCAGTGCTGTCCAAAGGCAACACCTGGTAGCTGTCAAAGTGAATTATGTGGCCCAGTATCTTGCAAATTCTCTTTCTCCTAAGGGTGATACTTATATTCTTCAACTCGATCCTGTTAAAAGATTAGTTAATCTCACCTCACTCACTTTTTCTCAAACAGATACACAGATTTTTTTAACCCCCTTTACCCTACTGCTCTCTCAACTCTTGACCAACTATCTCAGAAAAACAACCTTCTCTCTCTTTAAGTTTAACAACATTAGCAGAATAACAGTAGCACTTAGTATTACAGAAGCAGCAACTACCATTCACTGAGTAGCTGCCAGCAACCATGCTAAGTGTGTTAATAATATCATATTTAACTTTTACAACAACTCATGGACTAGGTGAAAAACCTGAAGCGTAGGGAGGTTAAATAACTTGCCTATACCATACAGCCAGTATCATTTGTAGCTAGAATTTTCTTGCACTTTAGAATATAACTCCAAATGTGTGCCCTTGATTACTATACCACATTAGTTAGCTCCCTGATTACTTTGACAGCTATCTTAGTTTAGCAGTGTTATTTTGTCATTAAAAGTAAGTACCAAAATGTAAAGGAGATGCATCTAAATTGATATTTGAATATAAAAATATGGGTCTCTTTCACATGTCAAAGCAACCAGATTTTCCCTTGTTTTTGTTTTTTTTACCTTAAAAAAATTCTGAACACTGATTATATAACAAGTGAAAAAATGTTAACTGTGACATTACTATAAGCTTATTTAATATTTAACAAGAAAAGAAACAATATAAAACAGAAACCCAGGATAAAAGGAATGCTGGTAATATATCCCTATCTCAGAAAAGTAAATCCTTACAAATCCCATGTACAAAACATCCTCTTTCGCATCCCATGACCTGTGTTCCCTTTACTTGGGCTGCCATTTATACTGCCCCCTTTCCATTTCAAACTTTATCTTTCAAGGTCCAGGGCAGATGTCACTTCCTCTAGGAGGTCGCTGATACCTGCAGGTCAAATTAATTGCTTCCTCCTCTAGAGTCTCAAGAGACTTCTCCATGCTTCTCAGAGCACTTAGAAAGGTGCTGAATTTGTTTCCTGCCCATCTGCTCTACCAGACTATGAGCACTTGGAGAACAGGAGCTCC